GAAAGTGTTAATGAAGAAGAAGGACTGGAAAAAATACAGAAAGAAAGGAAGAATGCGAGGTTAACTTTTTGAAGGGATATTTGGAAGACTATTGATGTCTAATTAAAATGTTTAACTAAAAATGGATAGCTCTTTAAGAGTTACTGAGGTATTAAAAGGGTCAATCAAAAATTTAAGGGGTAGCTTTTTGAAAGTTTTGGAATCTATGTAATACTTTTAGAATTATCTTTGAACAATGCTTTATTGAAACAAAAAGTTTAATTAAAACTGGATAGCCTTTTGAAATGTATTGCAGCTCTAAAGTGGTTAACCTAAAACTTAATGGATAGTAGTTGTTGTTGTTTTTTCAAAAGTCTGAAATATAGATCATGAAGAATGTCTTACTGAAACATGAGGAAGTATTAAGATATTTTAAAATGTTTAATTTGATATTATAGAACTTTTAAAAGGTATATATAATTAAATGTTTATGTTTGATGTTACTGAATATTGAAGAATTTTAAAAGGGGAGTTAAAGAGTGGGAGGGATTTTTGAATTTAATAGTAAGTTAGTATATGTTAGCTTAGATTTGTTAAATGTTATATCCTGTTTTTGCCCTGGGAAGTCGGGGGGGGGAGGGTGAGGGGAAGGGGGGTTGAGGGGTGCTGGGGATGAAATTGTTTTATGATTTTTAATAAAATAAAAAGAAAGGCAAATGTATTAATAGAGAAGTAAAAAGAAGAAGATATAAAAGATGTATTAGATGATATATTCAATGATTGATTATGTATTGTTTGTATGTTTGATTATAAAAATAAAAAACTTTTCTATTACAAAAAATTCAAATATGAGTCAATACATGTAGGCAATTGTTGTGATGTACAGTGTAGTGATTATGCTCACTGGAGATAAAGCTTACAACAAGAAGAAAAAACATTCTCTGAGTTTTCATCTACAAACATGTTCCCAGACTGCTTTTTTTCATTATTCATCTCCTTATTTCTCAGATTTTGTTTCCTGGCTGTCATTTGATATTAAACTGATTTATTGAGAATACTGCTGATTTCTGCAATTTGAATTTCTTATTTTTTTTATTTCCTCATTTAAACTGAGTTAGCAAAGCAGTCACTATGCTTATGTAAAGAAGGAGCAAAGAGCAAGAACCATATAAACCCTGATATTGCTTGAATATGTATTCTGTAATTTAAAAATAATGGTCCCAAAATACTGTGCCAAGAAAAGCTGAATGTCACATTCTATACATTATGAGCAGTTAGTCTACCTGCATATATTAGCTCAATTTACTTAATTTACTAGATTTTTGCAGGCAGCCTCAAGGAGAGAATCAAGGATTTGGGAAAAAATATATTCAAACAGACTGAAATCATATTGATCCTCACCACTGACTGGATTTTTTTAAAAAAAAAATAGTCACATCTTTTCAAACTTAGATTCATTTCACAGAACAAACACATTAGTCTTCACCATGCTGATATATCTCCAATATAATAAGACTGGCTAAAAATTTCATCTGGTACTAAATTCTCTCTCCCCCCACCTTTGTCAATATTTTGTAAGCATCTAGACTTGTTTCTGATTTCTATTTATCACCTTCTGTCATTTTTAAAATCTGTTTTAGAAATCATACTTAAAATATCTGAATTTGCCATATTGTGTGGTGAATAATATATATGGAAGTAATTCTTGCTAGAATTATAGGAGCTATGATGGAGCAGTGATTAGAATGCAGTATTGCAGGCAAACTCTGCTCACAACCAATTTGAGCCTGAACCATTTCAAAGTTGATTCAGCCTTCTATCCTTCTGAAGTTGGTAAAATGCAGGCCGAGATTATTGGGGACAATATGCAGATGTTGTAAACTGCTGAAAGAGTGCTGGAGTAAATAAGTCTAAGTGCTATTGCTATTCAGTTAAGCTGTGAATCCATACAATTAATTTTATCATTGCTGTGTATACTCCAATTTTGGTTTTCCAATCTGATACCAATCTGATTCTAATCTGATACCATCAATCTGATACCATCATTAGAAAAGAGATTAATCAATTTCTTTTCCAATGATGGGCTGAATTTGTGTTTGTGACCATCAATATGTATCTTAATAAATTGTACTGTTTCTTGTTTATACATTATAGAACAATTCCTAGTAAGGATCTTTGAGGTTTTAATATGAGTTTTCCCACTTTCCTGTATTAAAAAGCCCCAAAAGTTGACCTTTTATTTGGAGATTTAATGATGAATCCTTCTGTTTTTTAATGTTTTATTGGATTTTTATTTTTAAATATACATCAATATCAATACATGAACAGTATGGCCTCTGGGTATAATTCATTTTAATACAAACAGCAATAATAATAATAATAATAATAATAATAATAATAATAATAAGAAGAAGAATAAGAAGAAGAAGAAGAAGAAGAAGAAGAAGAAGAAGAAGAAGAAGAATAACAACAACAACAATAACAATAACAATAACAACAACAATAACAACAATAATAATAATAGGAACTGGAAAAATCACACGAAATATCGCGACCTGCCCATTGAAACTATGCAATTATGGATGAAACATGTAACGCCATTCGGAAGCTGATAGATACCCATTATCATGGGGTCACTTGATACCATGTCCAAAAAGTTTATAAGATACATCAACAAATTGCAGCTTCCTGCAATAATACCAGCAGAACTGCAAAAAACTATGCTACTCAGAACATCATATATACTTAGGACGTTGGCAGCAACCCGTATCAACCATTAGCACCAGTCAATGGTATTTGTGATGCATTTTTAATGTCCAGTTGATTGAGTTTCATGTTTAATGAATAAAATAAATAATAATAATAATAATAATAATAAAGCTTATATAATTCTAGTATTGATATACATGCTTGTTTTAGAGTAGTTACTCAATATTTCAATGTTCCATTTTAATGCCAAAGATATTATAAAGTGTATATAGTAATACCATCTTTCAACCTCCATTCTTTCCATCTATTGCTTTATATAAAGGTTATTTCTACCTCTATTCTAGTCATTATTATCTTTATCGTCTTCTCTTTCTCATCTTCTTACTTTGTTTGCTGGTTTGTCTGTTCTATCTTTTCCTCCATTCTTTCTGCTGTCTCCTCTCTTTCCTGGATTCTTTAATATTCATTCATTATCAGTTGTAGGATATTTTCTATTTTCCTATTTATGTCTTGCAATGGGTTCTTTATCTCTCTGTGATTCTTTGACATAGTATCCCTAATGCTTTGAAACATCAACACCACTTTTTTTTTTTTGAAATCTCACTCATCTCCCCCAATGGAACATCTTGTCTTATTTTAGTAAGTCCCACTCTTACTCAATAGTCCAAAAACAATATACTCAAGTCCAATGTTGCTCATCAGAAAGTTCAATAATCATAATTCTTTACATCTCAGGATTATTAATCAGTTCCATTTAAGTAGTCCAGGTAGCTTCCACAAATCAAAAGTCACTTTACTTAAGAATCTTCCTTATTCTCACAATAGAGTCTCCAGTAATCATAAAGTAGATAGTTATAGAACAGTAAGTATCACCACAGTCCTCCAGATGAATGTTGTTTATTTTATCTTATCAGGAATTTTCTCAGGCTTGTAGGTATATGGTATATTTTCCTTTCACCAGTAGATGGCGCCCTCAGCTTAGGTTTCAGCATTGTTTCAAGTCTGATAAATTGATTAATCCAATTTCAGTTCAATTTATAGAAGCAAAGTCGGCTAATTAAGTAGATAGTTCCAGCATTTTATAATGCCTTTCCAAAACAATGCCTACCCAGTTTAAAAATCCAATTTTCTATGTTTTAAAAGGTCCTTAATTTTTCTCCCCTTAGTTCCTTTCTTTCAGATCTAGGATATTTCTCTCTATGGTTGTTTGCCATTTTAAGAAATAGTTCTAAGCCTCTTTTCCTGGATTTTCTTCTTTTTTTCTTTTAAAGTAAGGGTCTAAATAAAAAAAGAATCTTCTCACCCAGCTCCAGTCACTGTTCATCTACACTGCTCCTGCACATTTCTTTGTTGCCTTGGCTGTCCCAGCTTCATGGCAGCCATGATGGCTGCTTCTTCTTGTGGATGAGAAGGAAAAAGCCCCGGATCAACCAGGACAGTACTGCTCTCCATTATGTTCAGGATGCCCCTCTTTTCTTCACCACTCCTACAGGGTGGCTTTAGCTCCTTTCGGAGCCCTCCAATGGGGAGAACTTGGCACGGGAGCGCAGAGACCCACTCCTCGTATTCAATCTCGCTGCTATATCAGCCAGAAGTCCCCAGGATTTTTTTTAAAGATATGATACAATGTTCTGAGATAACATCTGCTAACTCCTTCAGAACTCTGGGATGTAATGAAGAGTCCTTTTAATACAGCTCATATAGTACTTCAGTTCGGGGCATGCTGAATTGTCCTCTTCATTGACATTTGACAATTTTCTGGGCATTTCTACTAAAGGGAAATAGTCCACTTTAATTGGACTATTATAGGTGTCAAAACATGAACCACACTTTTGCACTTCATACAAATATCAAAATTAATTCTTTAGTATCAATCAGGAGGGATTGACTCAGTACTTTTTTGCATATCACAACCAAAATCAACTTGGTGCATAAGGTTCTTCAACTCCTTGATCATTTTCTAGAAATTTTATCAGATGACTTTCTCTGTGTGATATGATATGAAACAGGGAGAAAACCCTATTTTTATCTGTGTTCTCTATTCTGTGAATAATTTAATGAACTTTTATAAATTAAATCCTTTTTTTCATACATTTAAATGAATGCCACATGTACTTCCACTGCACATTAATAATATGGCCATCATCACATAAATAAAATATTATTGAATAAACTACTATTATTCAGTAATAGATGATTCTATTCTATTTATCGAATCAGAAAATAAATTACACGGTCAGTCTGGATATAGTTTTAGGGAATTTCAAGGAAGAAATAGTATAATTAAAATGCATACATTACAAGTAACTTACCCAAACATTTCCATCTTGGTGATATGGCTTCCAATTTCTCCCTGTATCACTGTAAAGCATTCGGTACTGAGTTACCCAGTCAGAGCTACTATATCTGCCTTGAGTAGCAATTGAGCTGATCTGTTTCCTATTGCCAAAATCAACTTGCAGCCACTGGTAATGGTTACTTTCTGATGGGCACCAGCCTCCAGCACCTACAGAAGTAAAGAAAAGATAATACTATTAAATTTCTAATATGATATTCATAGAAAGTGATTCTTTACTGAGATATATCTAAGTGTACACTCATTAAAACTTTCCACTTTTGTTTCCATTTTCAGTATGTAACTGAAGAATTTCAGATGAACTCCAAACAGCACAAGTCAACAATGGTAGGAAACAATGCATGCTCTGAGAGAGAAGAGATACTCTCAGAGTATCAATCTGTTTTGTTTGTTAGTTTATGTCAATTCCTGAAAATTACTATCATAACTTGAGTGGCATTCTCTGAGAAGAATTCTAGTGTACTGAAGAATGACAGCAGTTAGAGTTTCATTCCTGCTCCTTTACTGATAAGTGCTCCATGGAGAAAGCTGTTTATAAATTGAAAACAGATATTTTTCTCACCCTAAGTCATATTGACAACCTATAAAGTTGTGCATAATCTTTAAAATTTCCACATGAATGTGATATATCACAGAGGTTTAGTAGCCGTTGCAAGATCATAGGGTTGTTTTTCCTTCTACAAGCAAATAATGTTAAAGAGCTTTGCCAAACTTCCTGTAAAGGACATTAGGCATTCAGTAGCCTAACTTCATATGTACTTTAGATATATTATGAGAATATCTAGCTCTCTGGACAAGAATCTAATGTTGGAAAATGACCAGGCTAGGAACAGATATTCCTGAAGAAACCCACCCAAATAGGTGGGAGAGGGAGAAAATGGGCAGATATAAAGATATCCTAGACGAAAGAGGGTGGCTTAAACCAAATGATATCTTACGAGAGCAAGGAATAACTTTAGATTGGTGGACTTATTCACAAGTAAAACCCAGATATCAGAGAGACAAAGAACAATATGGTTTAGAACTGGGATCAAATGGACTGGATAAAGTCTTGATGGGAACAAATAAAAAGATTCTGGCAAAACTATACAATTATCTATTAAACGATGACAAGTTCGAAGATGTTACGAAGAACCAAATAATTGCATGGGAGAAAAATATAGGGCGCAATATAAATTTTGGGGAATGGGAGGAGGCATGGAACAGAAATCTTAAATTGACTAGAGCGGTGGCATATAGGAAAACCATTACAAAATGTTTCATAGATGGTACCTAGCCCCGGCCAGACTAGCGAAGATATATCCCAATATACATCTCAATTGTTGGAAATGTGGCCACGGTCAAGGCACCTTCTTTCACATGTGGTGGACATGCCCGGAAGCAAAAGGATACTGGAATAAAATTAGGAGATGATTATATGAAATAACTGATGAAGATATTGAATTAACACCAGAGATTTTCCTCCTGGGAATAATAAAGAAGCCATATAGAAAGGAAATGACACATTTAATGATCCTTATAATTACAGCCGCTAGATTGGCATACGCACAGTATTGGAAAGAGAAAATTCAACCACCAGAAGAGCTTACAATTAAGAAAATACTCGAGTGCGCAGAGATGACTAAATTAACCTATGAATTAAATGATGAAAAGTCAGTTTACTATATGGTGTGGGAAAGGTGGTACAAGTGGTTGCATGATAAAATGAAAGAAAGATATAAAGGTGTGTTAAATAATGGTTAAAAGTGAGTTAAAATGTCACCAAGTATTATCTATGTAAATAGTTAAAACACTGCACATCCGATACAAATTGAAAATCTATATTATGTTTATGTGTTCTATGTTATTGTTTGAATGTTTGTTTGTTTTTTCTTCTTATTTCTCTTTTGTTTTTTTTTAAAAAACCTTAATAAAGTTTAATAAAAATAAAAAAAAAGATCATCCTGAAGAAAATTTATCTATGTGGTCATTAAAAATAGACAGCAACTTTATGACATAAAATTAATCAACAAATCAAAACTTCCTATGGTGTATTAAAAAAGTAGTACCCATAAAAGAATAAGATATAAAATTTAACAAATTCTTTTATCAGATGGCCTTTAGATGTCTTCATGTATATTTCATTATTATTCTTTGTCTAATAGTTTATCAACTTTGGTCACTTTACAGACTTATTCTTTCTTTAAAAAAATCTCACAAATATCATCTATGCAAACTTCCAGGAAAGAATGGCAGACTAAACATGTCTCTGTGGGAAGTGGAGCAGACAATTGCACATATGAGTAGGGGGCCAATTAGAAAATTGTTCGACTCTAGATAAAGAGAGGATGCAAGATTGCCCAAACTATGCTCCATAATGTTGTTCTTCATGAGGAAACTGCAAGTTAGCAGTCTCTGGAGGTTGATGATATAGGAACTCCTGCTTGAGCCAGGGGTTGAGCCAGGAAGACCACCAGTAAAGAAGTTACTGTAGAAATCTACAAGGCTGGAAACACTGAGTGACAGCCTTCTACGCTTAATGAAGGAAAATGAAACTATTTCCGTATAAACTTTAAGAATGTAAAATAATCAAAATCAAAACAAGGTTTTCCCTACAGAAATGGACTAAGGCTTAGAAAGTGTAATATTTAATTTTTAAGTATTATGGTTTTGAATCTGACTGTAAGAATGAATGTCTTTTGTGGAAAATAAAGTTGATATTGGAGACATAACAAGGTAATAGCATTCAGAAACATTTATGAAGAATTGAATCGGGACCTTGCGTCAATGTCAGCTATATTGTGTGTTCTTAGGAACAGCCAGTTCCCAACAAATCTTTCATTGAAAAAGATTTGGAAAAAAAATTATCAGAGAAAAATATGAACCAAATTTGTCATTAGACATACAAAAATGGATGAAGCTTTAAAAATTAAGAAGGAAATATAAATACCGATTTCAGAAATCAATTGGAATGATTTCTCTTTTTGGACTTATAAAAAGAGCTTTTTAAAGTTTTGATGAAATTCAAGACATCATTATTTATTGTGATGAATGGATTAAATAGCAAAATTATTTTATACCAAATGAAGGAACATTCTGTAATGTCTGTTTATCTGATCAAGGATAAAATGCGCCAATTTGGGGTTGTTCTTTTGGATTTGCTGAGATCTGGATTGGAAAATGTTGTATACTGGATTGCTAATAGTTAAAATAGTGTTTAAGCTTTTTCCCTACAGTCACTTTATGTATCCTGATAATATTTAAATTGGCTTTGTATCTAATTGTCCTTTCACTTAAAGTAAGAAATCCTGGTGAGTTTCTCTTTAAAGGAGAAATTATCCCTCTTTGTCATATTAAATTTCAGTCTTTTTTAGCTAAATAAGAATATTGAGACTATTTGTGCCTTCTAAATGTGAATTTGCTTACAGTTGATTTGATATATGGAATGATAGTAATTAATATTATTATTATTATTTTTAGGGCTCTGTTTGGACTTTTTGTTGACAGTGGATGGAAAAAGAATCTAATAGAATAACTATTAGATTTTTCTATAGTTAATAGCTTAGTTATAGGATGAAGAATTTAATATTTGCTAATTAAGAGGAGGAAAGAGATAGTGAAATTATTTATGGTATTATGTTGAGGGTGGGAAATATCTTTCTTAGAGTTTTTTCTTCCTCTTTCTGTTTTCTTTCTTTTTTGTTTTATTGCATATTTTGTTTTCTTTTTTAAAGTTCGCATTATTTTTTACTATTATAATTAAAACTTTTAATAAAGTTGGTTTTTTTAAAAAAAGAAGAATATCATCTATTTAAATGATCACAACAGGCAAAATTCAGTTGCAATTATATTGTAGTACCTGTCAGCCCGTGCTTACTCTTTCCTTGCACTGAACATATTTTTTCAATTTTGTATAATAATCATATGTCATTTATGATTTTAACTTAATCGTACTGAAAAGGACTATTATGAGTAAGAACCAAGCAACTTTATAGGCATTTAATGACATCTTCTTAGTAATTGTCAAATTATAATTATTTTAAAGTTTAAAGTTTGACCAAATTATCCACAACATCCCTTGTCAGAGTTTGCCGGCATGACAATGACAACTGATCGATTCTTTACTCCCTAATTAAGCCACTGTTTCAAATTAAGTGGGAGGGAATAACAGCACCCACGTCTGTACTCTCCAAAGCACTATAGCATTTATTAAAATATATAAGCTTCAAAAATTTCATCAGAGGCCAGTAATAGTATATTTCCTATTGCCTGATCAATGTTTTATATTCAGTTTACATCAGAAAGGAAACTATCAACATACTGTTTCATGAAGCTGTCTTGCCCATTCCAAGAAAATAGTCCTACATGAGCAAACATTTCAGCTATGGACTGGGATCATGATATATGGGGGAAAATCTTTGTCTGTCCTCCTTCCCAACAGCAGCATCTTCATATTCCACAAAAGATGGAGGGGCTTCACAAAACAAGTTAAACTGAAATCTATAGAGTAAAAAATCCAAATTTTGAGCAGAAACAGTCTTCCTCCTCTCATTAGTGGTTTAGTAATAGTGGTTAGTTGAAAAACTGTTTTTATCAGGAATAGCTTGATAACTTTTCAGCAATTAATTCAATTCAATTTACTGTGGTCAAATATCAGTATGGATAATGAACAAATAAAATTTAAGAGAGAACTAAAATACAATTGTAATACAACCTTACTAACTTCTAGTAACTGAGATTTAGGATATGGCCTTTATTAAATTATACTGTAAACTCTATAATTATATTAAATATGGTAACATCTAAAATTACAACAAAGTAAAGGTATATGTTTGTTGAGATTCTTAGTCATCCAGGTCATGGTTGTCCCAAGGGGGCTTTTTAAAAAGGAAACTGGACTTTCTTTGCTTTTTTCTCTTGAAGACTTTTCACTTTTCCTTCAAAAAGAATCTTCAGTTGGGGAATGGAAGGACTTTGTGCTAAAAATCAGATGACCACAAGGAACAGAAATCCTTTCATTCCCCACCATTCAGTCAGAACTGAAAATGCTTCTTGGATTAGAAGAAAACATTTTCAAGAGAAAAATAAATAAAGCCCAGTTGCCTTTTGAAAAAGCACCTTTGAGACAAAGTAAAGGTATCTAAAATTATTATTATTAGTGGAGTAAAAAT